ATTGTTTGCATTGAAAATATATGCAAATCAGTGAATTTCGATTATTCCGCTTATATTTCGTGTGTTTTTGCTCAAGATGCATGAAAATATTAAGGCTCTGCGGCTGCAGGCTGCCTGGCTGACTGGCTGACCTTTCCAAGATGTTCGCTCGTAAAGATTTTTGTGTGGCAGGCTACACAAGGAGCAGGCAGGCTGCTCATAAATATTTTTGCTTGTTTTTTTTTCCTTTGCTTTATTTTGTTATTTGGCAGCCAGCTCTGGTCGGCAGGTGCTCAGTTTTATTGCAGCCTGTCTACGCTTTCACCTTGCGAATCGAATTGAATTTCAGAGCATGACGCCAAAACATCACTGGAGGCCAATTTGAGCGGCCGTTCAAGTCCACGTTGGAGGACTTAACTGCTTCCAAATGTAATTAGCATCTAAATGCATTGACGAGTCACGGACAGGAGGCGTGCGGCGTTATAGTATATAGTATATATAGTCATCGGGTGTCTAATGCATATTATAGCAGCCAGTGTACCGGAGAGACATACGTGTGTGCATACGGCTGTGTGCACTGTGGATCGCGTGGGCTGCACCAATAAGTATGCTGCATAAAATGAAATTGGGTTATGCATATTTGAAAGGATTCGTACACGTTACTAAGGCTTTCTGCTGCAGCGAGCTGGCTCTGCACATCAGGCATGCATATAGAGTACATCGTCATCGTCATCGTCGGCGTCGGCGTCGGCGTCATCGTCAGCGTCATGCACAAACAAAAAAATCTAGCTAAATCCCATCATTTAACAGCTCATTTGTTAGCGAACGTAATCGATATTATTTATCATATTTATGCCGGCATCCGCAGCGCCCACGGCTCGTGTCCTTTATATAATGACTAATCTCTTGTATATGTATATATTATAATAAGTAATGAATTATAACAGACTGAATTAAATGATCAAAGTGACCAAACAGCTTCAGCCAACCTACATCATCTTTAATCAAATATGTATGTATGTTAAGCATGTACAAAAGTGGTAATACATGTTGGTTGTCAATCCGGCTTTCCTTGCTGCCTGCCTGTGGGCTTTGGGCTGCTGATTCATCCTGTCACTATTCACAACAAATCACTTTGGCCACCCACTTGCAGCTGAATCGAGAAATCAGTTATTTCTGTTAATTGCATTAGGGTTTACGGCCGCGAGTATCTACCATATTTCCATGGCAATCGTGTCGTGATGCAGATTCTCGAGGCATTGAAGGGTTTTTGATTTTGTTTTGTTATTGTTGTTCTTTTTTTTATATAATTTCGTTTCGTCCACCTCCTGTCTGCAGAACTTGTAATTCATTATTTTTACACTTGTACATATAAGTATTACGCTGCACTTAGTTTTGTTTGTTTTCCTTCTTTTTTTTTGGTTTTTGTTTTATTTTTTATGCTGGTCCCCGCGCAAAAACAACCTCAACAACAACAGCACAACAGCAACACCAGCACCAACACCAACACCAACAACACAAAAACAGAACGTAATCGTTGTGCGAATGCAGAGAACTCGTAGCCGTAGTACGTGAGGCGCGTTGTGGGTCGCGAAAGTTCTTTGGTTGTCCGCACAGCGCGACGTACCGCAACGAACTAAAGCGGCGGAGGACATATTGGTTCGTTTAAAGGACGAGGGCGACGAACATGGCATTGGTAGCGTGAAAGCTGAGAAAACACACACGCTTGATAAGGATAACGGCGTCCAAGGACATTCGAAGAGAACATTCGCAGATTGCCTTTCAATGGACACGCATGCAACGCTCTCTTAACCAACTCGCCTGCCCCTGCTCTAGGGGATGATTTGTAGCCGAAGACGCGACAAACATTTCACCTTCAATTTATTCGAGTTTTTTTGCAATCGAGACTGCTTGGCCTGCGGATGCCCTGCATGACAAGACGAAGAAACGTACAGCTAACAAAATAGTGTTCAATCTTCTATTTGCTTTGCCTAAAATTATTAAAAATTCCATTATTTCATTAAGTTTGACCTTTTGCCGTCATATACGCTGAAGAGACCCTACTGTTAATTACTTTTTGAGCACGCCTCGTGTACTAGCAGCTAAGAGTAGTTGCGCTCTCTTCATTGAACCATGCACAAGTTCTCTTTCGCTCGCTCTTAAATGCGAGAGCTTTTGGCGAGCTTTCTGCGATAAGCCATTGGTAAACAAACGTTACGTTCATTCATGGAAACAGCAACAACGAATTTTGTCGTGCCCAGCGCGAAAATATAAACATTCCGACACATACATACATATATGCACAAATATTTGTATACAGAAGTATATATTTGAGTGTATGTGTGTGTGTGCGTATTTATATATTTATATATATATATATGGATGGCGATTTGCAGATTCGGTCAACTCAAAAGAAATAATCAAAATAAAATATGCTGAAAAGCTCAAACAACGGCGCCATGTGCCATTGGCTATGACTCATACGGCTTGGCCTGATTTATCGTAAATCATGGTTCATATTTTCTAGAGCCCACGAGCCAAATTATTGATGTGCAGTCACAAGTTATGGGATGCTAACCTTACATGAATAAGTACAGCCATAAAAAATATTTTAAAAAATTAACAATATCTCAAAGTGATGTACGAACGCTGGCAAACAATATAAAATTATATAAATATGTGCTTATATATATATATATAATAGCATATCTTGTACACATGGAGATCATTATAAATTCAAAGTTTATGCAAATATATATTAGCGCAGATATTTATTTATATATACACATGTTTCTATGTTCGTCCGCCGACTATATGCGATGCCCCTGCATTTGTATTCATTTAGTCATTCAAATACTCGTTGTTGTGACACGCCTCGAAAGCTCTAAACGCCGCCTACTGCGCCAGCGCTTATTGTTATTCCTTGGTTGATTACGAGGGACGTTCCTTAACTTATGAGCAGGCTAATCCTTTAGAAAATATTTCTCGTATAACTTGTGACTTTTGCTTTTAACTTTTGAGTGCACTGGAATGACTAATTGAAAGATTGTTTGTTAAAGGTCAAGGTGGACTTTAGGAAGCTGGCTATATTTATTTAAGAAACACGATTTATGTTAACTTGTTTATATGTGAACAAGGAATTAAGATCTGCAGAAGATTTTGGGCAAATGCGGAGAAGCTATTGGTATTTAGTAATCCAAATGATGAACTCATTAATTAAACATATGATGAAACTTATCACTTATTAGCTCAGATATTTGACAGTAAGCTATTGAGCTGCCCTCGAGTGTGCCGGCTTTTACTACACAGCGGCACAAGCAACAATAACAATAACGACAACGACAGTGCCGTGATTCATCGCAAAAACTCAGCGAGACATATAAAATATATATACTATACTACACAGATACAGATACTACACAAATATATAAATATATATATATATATGTGCATGTATCCATATAAGATTCCAAAATTAAAGTCTCTGTTTGAAGTGGATGCATTCGAATAAGCGCGACCGGAGTTTGCCTCAGATTTTGCAGCTGCTAATTATGTGAGTGCGTAAAAATAAAACATTGAAGAACAGCAATTGGTACTCAGAAACTGGGACAGTTCTTTAGATCATTATTTAATTATTATTAATATTATATCTAGGTTAAGGCGCATAAGTCATTAACTTTCAGTCGGCAGCTTTAGACTTGACTAACAAAAGATTTTAACCGGATTTTTGTTTTTGAATCTACCCAGGGCTAAAAGAAATGTTTACCTATACTTAACTTAAGTCAACCTAAGTTGAGCATTATATATATATACATATATTCAGTTAAGATATAGCTATAACTATGGAAGTTGTGCTAGTCTAGAAAACTGCTTGTGAGAGTATCAAAACAGCGGCACAAAGAAACAATCTGTTCTGGTTTTATTTATAGCAATAATACCGAAACGAGTTTCTAGAGCGCAGCTCGCTTTGTGTCCAAGGTTAATCGATTTGAAGGTCTGCAGTTGCCAAATATTATATATTTATCAAAATGAGCTGAGGAAAAAAGTGTTATCAATGGTCAACAGCTCAAAAGTTTGTTTGCTTTTGAACGTTGATTCCGGTAGAAATATTTTGAAATATCCAAACCCTGATATGATATGAGCTATGAGTAGTAGGCCTCTAAAGCTCTTATAGATTATTAGCAGATACTCATACGTTATTATAAAAAATTATTATTTCATTTATATTTCCCGACAAATTGTTGAAGACTCAATAAAACATGATTGCAAATGCATTTCAGCAGCATTAAAAATTAAACAAAGGAGTTGAAGGCGGGCTCAAAAGTTGAAATATTTTGTTAAGTAACTATTTCAAGCTGCAATACCTAATGGAAGTCTGAAATACTGAATATCTATGTCTGATGAGCCCTGCACAGTGGACAAGTTTTAATTTATTATTAAAGTTCCATTGATGGATAAAATTAAAATTCATTCATTGAGCAAAAAAAAAATACTGAGTTTAATTAAAAATTCATTCAGGCTAAATTGAACATATGAACGAATTGCAATTGTTTGCTTTAGCTTTAATTTGAAAGCCTCTTTGTAAGAAAATTTGGAATCAGCCGAATATTATCACGCGAGCTGAAGAACTAAGCGCTGCCAATGATGACGTAATTAGCTGTGTTTCCGGCGCACGGAATGACGAGCTCGGCGTTGTGCGGTTGGCCATGATTAATACTTTCCGAGGCACATATATGCAGGAGTTACAATAAGAGCGAGAGAGAGAGAGAGAGAGGGAGAGAGGGAGAGAGCATACAATCGACTAATAAGTTGACATAGCGGAGTTTTAGCCCGATAAGGCAGCAGTTCCAGCTGCGATAAGATAACGAAGCGCATGCGTAGGCGCAACGACAACGAGTTCAGTATAGGTTTAAGCCGTTTCGAAACGCACCTGTTATCTGGACGCGTTATCTTATCAGGGCACCTGGCAGCAGATTGCAAAAGCTACAAATTCTTTTCACTGCTTTCGGTTGGGCATTCAGTTGAGTAGCGACAAGCAAACGAATACGAATACGAATTCACATTCGAATAGAAAACGAATACAATTTGAGAGTGTGAATATAAAAAGAAGACAAACAATAAAATGGTATCTGTGGAAACAATTGGTTCGATCTTCATCAAAGCGCTTAAGCTGGTAAGCCCCTAATACAAAATAATAACCAAATCCTGTCCATTCAGTGACGAATTTTCGCGTTGCTTGGCTTGAAAAATGTTGAGCAATGCGACTAACTGTGCTGGCCTTATCGGCCTTATCAGTGCCTGTGGTTTACTTATTCGTAATATTACTCATGTATACGAAAAGCACAAAATTAAGTGCGGGTCGTGAGTGCGCAATAGGTCTGGCCAGAGCTTTATAGGGCGGGGCTAGTCAAAGATCGTTACAAGGTCTGATTCATCAGCCCTGATAAATGAGAGCTAAACCAAGTTAATTGTGAATTCAATTTGACTAAAACTTAATTATTACAGATCATCAATTTGGTGGTGATATTTCTATATCGCTGGGGCGATGGCGGCGAATTCCTGGGCATTGGCGGCACCTGGAATCTGAACGAGGAGAAGAGCGCCGACGCGGAAATCGTGGCCTCAGGTGTTATGGTCGGCTTCATAATATACACGGGCTGCCACACGATTGCCTACTTCTTTGGCACCACCAAACACAAGGGGTAAGCATTGAATCCTAACTCTCCTGCTGGCCCAATCTGATTCTACTCTCCCGCCAACCCAGCGAGTTGTGTGACACCATCATGAATGTGGTGGGCACCTTTATGTGGATCGCCGTTGGCGGTGTGGCGCTTCATTACTGGAAGGGCTATATGTCCGACGAGGGCTTTCTGTACGTCAACTCGGAACGCCAGGTGGGCATTGCCATGGGCTCGCTGTGCGTCGTCGAGGGCGCACTGTATCTGCTGGATACCGTGTTGGCCTGCATACACTACTCCAAGGGCGACACCGACTACACGCAATGAACCGCGAAGAACAAGTAGCTAACATCGGAGGTGAAGCACCGCTGGAGCAACTGCCGAATTACTGACAACAAATTTTTTTCATTTCTACAAATTTGAGTTAATTCTAAGTGCAAATTAGTCATAATCTACTTATCGAGCCACTTGTGTATGATTCGGATATCATTTTATCTTATTTACACGCTAACAAACCATTTATCTTTCGCTCCAGCTATACACTTTGGCTAATACAAATTGTTAAGATCAATACAAACAAACAAACAACATTTTCGTGTGTTCACATTTGAAAGGGAAATATGGCTTTAATATAGCTCATAAAAAACTTGGCTAACATATAGAGATGTTTGCCTCTTATTTGGCGTTCAGTTATTATATATTCTAAGCAGCTCTTGGCTGGGTTTTATAGGTCTTGTAACCTTCCCTGAACTAGCTCAGTTGCATCTTGAAGCGACATTATTATTCAAAGCGTTGCCCGCTCGCCATAAAAAGCTAAACATTTTATGTTTGTACCTGTGCAGGTACATATATATAAATATAAGTAAAGGGTTGTCTCAACACTGATCAAGGCTGTAAACTGGTTTTCAGCTAAGCCGCTTAGAATCCGCGAATCTAATGTATTTCTTAAGAAACTGAATCACACAAATGTCTTGCCTCAAGCCTTCTATTGAGTAATGACGGTCTCCTGCTTGTGTATATTTAAAAAAGAAATATTCGTAATCTGGCTAATGCACACTGCTCCATATAATCCTCTGCCCCTAAGGCACAATCTATGTCAACATAAAGAACTAGTGCCAAAGCCGAGTCATAGCAATACCGATAAAAGCTAATGACTAACTGAGAATTGTGCTTACATTTGAAAGCTTATGCAGTGCCAAGCTTTTCAAGTTTTCCCATTAATATTTTCGAGGAGGAGATATCATAGTTCTCAGATGATGATAGTGATGAAGTTTAATTCTAACGCTCACTATGATAATAATTAAACTAATAATAAAACTGATGCTGATCAGATCAGGTTTATCCTGTTGAGGACAAAAATGATCATTATAATAATAATGATGATCCTGATAAAAACTTCGATAATAATCATAACTTTCAATAGTTTTAATATTGTCAAAGCTTTAGCTGTTGTTTTTTCTTTAGCCGATAGGCAGTAATGCAGCATGACGACCTGCCTGACGATGCACCATCATCGTTTAGGACTACCGCAACCACAAGAAGAGAAATATTATAATTACAATTTTAATTAGTTTTAATAAATGCTTAAATTTTTATCAAAGATACGAGAAGAGCACAGCAGGAATGCGAGTGATAAGTAGGTTTTATAGGTGATAACTGCACTCGAAATGGAGGTCCCTACTCTTTAATCTTTATAGAGCAAGAGTATATTGGTTTTGTGTAGAGATAATATTTAAGATGTCACACAAATGAGAAACGGAATTTACTACATCGAATCAGATCGTCGAAATATTATCTTACTCCCTGATACACATTTACGCATTCATTAAACAATTATTGTACTTAATCAGGGAAATTTATTAGCTCTACTCATTGGCTATAATTAAAATATGTTTACATTATCGGAATTGTTGAACACATTGTATCGATACAAAGAGAAAAAGCTACTGGAAAATAAATTTGAAAATACCTTAACAAAAACGTGAAATCTTAAGAGCAAAAACCAACTATCAACTAACCATAGAAAGTCTATTAATAAACGAGGTCTTCTAAAACTGAAGCTAGAAGCAAATCAGTTGAAAACTTTAACAAACTTCTACGTAGGCTAACCGCATTACGCAGTTAATTAAAATTAGTTAAAGACGTTTTTATTTTCTACAAAGCCCCAATTTCACTTCATTATAACATATATATGCAAGAATTTGAACAAGGGTATAGGTATGAGGTAGATCAAAGAGAAAGCTGAATTGATAGTAAATCTAAGTGATTCCTCAAACACTAAATAAATATATATAATATAAATACATATATAATATAAATATATATATAATATAAATATATATATAATATAAATATATATATAATATAAATATATATATAATATAAATATATATAATATACTCTATTTTAAATTGATGGTAAATTGATAAAAACTCACCTGTATTTTGGGCTTCCCGCGCCCATCCACTGCGTCTCGCTGCTGCTTGAAGCTGTTGGCTCTCGCGACACTCTGAGCACAGAGCGCACAGAGCGCACAGCGCCGATTCGCGGAGCCGTCCTCCAGATTGAGGGCGTCGAGTAGCATTGGCTGGTCCTGAATGAAGGAGTTGCGCGAACGCTGATTGAGCAGCTCCAGTGTTCGCGAGTCCAGGCTTTCGCGGTAGACATTTTGAACCCTGTCCAAATTGTGCTCGAAGTCCGTATCCAGATTAAAGGAGCTTTGACTGCTGTTGCGCGTCGAGGCGGATTGCTGGCGAGCGAGCGCTGAGCTGCTGCTTCGTTTGCGACGCATCACCACTGTCCTCGGTGAGCTCTCCATGGAAGAGGAGCCGACGAAGGAGGGCGTGCGCGGTAATGGCAGACTGACAGCTCCGGCTCCAACTGCACTCCCATTGGGTTCGCCTAGGGGCGAGGGTGAGTGGGATTGCGAGTAGTGGGCGTGGGCATGGCTGGCAGTTGTGGCTAATGGCAATTGGAGCGAATGGGCGGGTGGCATCTGCTCGGCTAGACTCATGATGGACTGCTGGCGCTCCAGTTGCTTCTCATAGCCATTGAACTTGTCGTAGTCAATGAATGACATATTGGCATAGCTGACCATATTGTCAATGGCTTGCAGCGATTGCAGCGAGGCGCTCCACTTGGGATTCAGCTTATCTTTTTTGTCTTTTTTCTCCTTTTTCTCTTGCTTTTCCGTCAATCCAATCAGCGTGCTCTTGAACGAAGCGATGAGCGTGCTGGAGCGACGTTTCTGAAAGTTAAGCTGCGGATTGTAGTTGCTGTCGGCAGGTGTCAGGGATATAAGCGATGGCTTGCGTTGCATGGCTGACTCCGAGGAGTCCTCAACTGGCGTTGAGGTCAGAGCCTGTGCCGATTGTCGGCGAGCTGGCGTCTTTACTGAGCTGGAGGTATCCGCACGGCGACGCAGTATGGGCGAACAGGTGCTATTGGCTGCGCCGTCCTCGGCCAGCGAATTCTTGCGCGGCGACGCTGGCGACATGGGATCACCCGACTTCTCGGCTTCCTCCGACAGCTGCTCCAGCTGCGGCTCAATAAAGCTGCGCCGATTAGGCCTGCGCAGCAAAATCATCGAACGACTGCGCGTAAACGTAAACGGGGTCTTGCCCGGTTCATCTTTGGACTCATCGCTGCGCGCCAGATTCTCCTTGCTGCCAGTGAAGTTGTTAAAGAACTTGGACATCTTCATGCGAAAGCTATGCGTACGCTCCATTTTGGGCAGTGACTCCACCTGCGACATTGTGGCACGTCGCTCTGCATCGTACTGTTCCTTAAACATTTGCGTAATGTTTGGTGTCGCTGCTTCAGTTGCTCCACTCAAAGATTGCGAGTTGTTATGCTTTTGCACCATGTTGTAGTTGTTGCTGCTAATGTTGTTGTTGTTATTGTTGTTGTTGCTGCGATTATTGGCCTTTGGATCGTTTGGTTTGAGTTTTGCATTCGTGGCAGCTTTACAAATCCCGTTCTTATTGCTATTTATGGTTTGCTGCGGCTGCTGCTGCTGTTGTTGTTGCTGTTGCTGCTGCAGCTGTTGCTTCTGTTGCTGCTTTTTGTTTGTCTTTTGTAACTTCTTTAGTCCCTTCGTGGCGCTCTTCGCCTCTTTGCTGGAATTCATTTTGCAGCCAATTAACTGAAAATAAAAACAAAAAGAGAGTTAGATAGAACTAAAAGTGCATGACAGGTAAGTATATTAATAGCACAATGTAAGTACTCTCTCGCGCTCTTGCTCTCTCTCTCTCTCACTCTCTTTCCCAATGTCTTTGCTATTTGCCGTGAGCTTTACTATACAAATCGGCATTCCAGTAGTGTTTCCGTGGACCGTCTAAAGCGAATATGGATAATGATATCTCATTTGTGACTTGTCTAATCTATTGCTTGGCTACTAGCCCAGAGTAGTAAGAAGAAAGGCAGCAACACCTTAAAATACCCTGTAACAAAAAACTGACAGGCTTCCTCATAATCAACTTAGGATCACAGGTTCTTAAGCCAGCTTTTCACGCAATATTTTATAAGCATATTAATTTCTTGAGAAATTTGTGCATTTTCGATTCAAAATTGAGAATTTTCGATGTGTGCCATAAGTATAAAATTTTAGGTTTACGAATAACAAAATTCATTATTTGAACCTTCTCAAATTCGATGTCGCTTGTCGCTTATTATTTGCGCTATTTCTTTATGATGCATCAACTTCCATTCCATTTATCACTATCAAAGGGGAAGTTGGCGACAAATCAGCTTCGGTTTATTGATAAGGCACCAGAATATTCTGAAGCGAAGCTCTTCGCATGAACTAAAATGTCGTAATGCATGCAAGATTTATCTTTTTCCCATTCATCCGCAATCTATCTTTCACTGTTCATGGCAGTTGTTGTGGATGCAGAACGACATATCCGAATCTGTCTGTATAACCTCGAAGGATCGTTGCAGTTGCAAGCAATATTTCCAGCCTCGAGAGTAGTATTTAGTACGAGTGCTGCGAATTGTCGTGTCGTTGAGGCAGAGGCGAGATATCAGTTTGGCCAACGGGTCGACAACATTGACAAACGGCGCAAAAATTGCTATGGAGTACGGAGTGTGTATGGTGTGACAAGCTACGTACACAACACAAAGAGCCAAACTCTTATCTGAAACAATTCGGTTTTTATTCCCCCCGCACAGTAAAGCTCAAAAACAACAGTTAACAGTTTGATAAGATTTCAAAAAGTCACACACAAATTCACTTGTCTGCGTGCTTCGCAATATGCCATTTCAGTTACCTGGTTAGAGTTCAAAAACGACATAAAACTAATGAAATACCATAAATAATCTATCATCAGGGCATATATAGCTGAACACGTAAATATGAATTCTACGGCTAGCAGGAAAATCTCAGGATATTCAGCTCTAAGCATTTATTGTTCTCACTTCTCATAAGGCAGAAAGAAAGAGAAAGAGACAGCGCGAATGGGTTTGATAAGAGTGTAAAACAAGGTAGAAAGGAGACGAAGAAATATTGTTGGGACTTAATCGAAGACATATCAATATGTCTTCTCTGTTGTTGCTATTTCTTTATTTTCTCTCTCTGTCTCTCTTTACCTTCTCTCTATATTTGATAACTTTTTCTCTTTATCTTTCTTTCTTATGTTTCTTTATCCCTTCCTCTTGTCTTCTCTGTTGTTGCTATTTCTTTATTTTCTCTCTCTGTCTCTCTTTACCTTCTCTCTATATTTGATAACTTTTTCTCTTTATCTTTCTTTATTATGTTTATTTATCCCTTCCTCTTGTCTTCTCTGTTGTTGCTATATCTTTATTTTCTCTCCTTCTCTTTCTCTTCACCTTTTCTCTATATTTGATAACATTTTCTCTTTATCTTTCCTTCTTATGTTTCTTTATCCCTTCCTCTTTACCTTCTATCTTCTCTGTTTCTCTCGCCATTTCTCTCTCTCTTCATTTTTTCTCCATTTCGCACTCTGACTCTTTCTCTCTAGCTCTCGCCCTCTCTGTCTCTTTGTCTCCCTATTCCTGTCTTCCTCCGTTCTCTCTTTATCTCTCTAATAACAATCGTGCATCATTTTCATTAGCGTCTCCCTCTCTCTTTCTATCTATCTTGCTTTATATCGCTATCTCTATCTGCTGGTATTTATACAAGTTCTTTAATGAACTAGATTAAATTAAGCTGCTAACTTTTCAGTATTAACTGTATATTTTTAATACAATAAGCCAAGTAGATTTAAACTATATTTTATATGCATTTACATTACATTGACAAAGAAAGTGCATCTTTCACATTTTCTCCCTGCATGCATCTGATATATTATTGCATAGATCCGTCTAAGTATTATATTACAACTTGCTGTGTATATCGATCTTATTCGAAAACCAGTTTGCGGTTTCAATTAACGACGCGATGTTGCTGTTGTTGTTGTTGTAGTTGTTGTCATTGTTGTCGACACAAGATATTGACACTGACTGACTTGATGAGTATTCATTTAAAATTTTACTTAATGACACTCACTACGAAAAGGTTCAAAGGTAATTCAAGCTTAATACAAAGCTATTTCAAGTACTCATGATTTAATATGAATATAATATATATATATATATAATATAGAGCATAAAGCTATACAAAGCTATATATATATTTATATATATATGTATATATTTTTTCAATAAGCAATTTAATTTTTTTATGATTGCTTATAAAATATTAATATTCAAGTCTTGTCCTATAAAAAATTGTATGCGACTAAAATACAGCGACTTCTTATAAAAAAAGGATATATTTATATAGAGTATTACATATATATAAAAAAATAAATATAAATATATATGTATTATTCACACATTCTATTAATACAGTCCAGCGTAAAAAATACTTTTCACTGTTCTTGTGTTCACATATAATTATTTAGCATTCCCTATGCCTCTATGTAGTAAAGGAGAGATTTATAGTCCCGTCGTACCGTCTTTTAAATCCACTTTAAGTTCATTTGAAGTATGTGTATGTGTGTGTATATCTTTTTCATATTGTTATTGTTTCTTGTGTGCTTTAATTCAGCTGCCTTAACAGTTCATTTGTTTATATTTTGAATTAACATTCGCATATAACTGCGACACAGACCCAAAAAATTGCTCTTGAAATTTAATGCAAGTGTGTGTGTGCGCGCGCGTGTGTATGTATGTACACAAGTATGCACGTGTGCATGTATTCGATTAGTTAGCTTGGGATCTTTGTCAAGTGCGCGGCGTAGATGTAAACAAAGTCGCAAATACTATTCATTTAATATACTTATACATTTTAGTAATAGTACACATTTGCGGGCTTATGTGCATATGTATGTACATTCTGTTCCATCCTGTACATAGTATCTATGTAAGCATTTATGTTTTCTTCAAGTTTTTGAGTGCTATGCACACAATATTGTGTGGCCACTTGCGCAACTTGACAACCAGCTGACAGTCTAGCGTGCACTCTTGCTCTCTTTTGTGCTCTTGAACGCAAACTTTTTCGTCCGCTGTCGCTCTCTCGCTGTCTCTCTGCATGTGACGACGCAACGTAAGCACGCTCAAATATTCAACTCGTTTTCGTTCGATATTTATGTATGTAATTATATGCCCATACACATACGTATGGGTTTATGTACCATAGCGAAGCGTACTAGCCTTTTAAACCATAACTTATTAAAACTATTTATTAAATAATGTTGGAAATCACATACATATGGTTGCATTTAAATGTATGTATGTATGTGCTTGTATATACAGCTGCGTTCATATTTATCATCACTTATTTACCGGCTCCCTGCCACACACATTGTCGCTAAAGCAACAATATATTTTCTTTTTTTCTTGTTTTTGTTTTTTTTTTTCTTTTTTGGTTTTCACTTACCAACCGGCTTATTGTCACAGTCACTTTTGTGTTTTAGATTCATTTATCATATATGGCACCTTCATTTACACTATGCCAATTGCGAAAATAAAGGAAACACTTTGGCACGATGCGAATTTTCTGTCAACGGCGCGCAACAACGCTACTAACGAACACCGCGCGCGCGGGTGACTAGCGGTTAACTGATCGACAGGCGACTGCACAGCTGGAAGCATGGAGAGCGCTGAACAAGGTGACGCATTGCGCATGTCCGTCTCTCGGCACAGTCTGTGAGCGAAACACATTCATTGCGTGTGACGTCGTGTGACGACGCAAAGCTAGTTAGAGCGTAAAGCTTAAGAGTGTGTATGAGTGCATATGTGTGTATTTATGTGCACGAATCAAAATAAACCAAAAAAGTGACTATGTAGGTACAGGGTATTTCGTAGTCCGGGCTTAACTGATCAGCGACTTGGTTATCGATTTGAATTTGATCGCAACGTCATCGAATTGTAATCGACTTTAACGCACTTACATTGTATATAAAAATTATAAAATATATAGTAAATGCAAGCTCTAATATTTTGATTTACATTTCGTAAGCGTGATAATTGAATAATTGAAATTATGCATTCATATATATGCTCCCAACTAAAGTCGCTGAGTCGCGATAAGAAACAAAACAAAAATCAACATTTCCTATAATATATATGTACTTATTCCCATGTATGCGTGAAAGCTTGATTAGATTGTTTTAACAAAATTCAATTGAAATCTATAGAGTTGATCAAGTTCCAATTGTTCAGTTCATCAGTTACAGTGAATATATGCATACATATGTATTTATTTTAAGTGTCTGACAATGACCGCAGTGAAGCCCGTGCTCTGCGTGGGCTGCACTGTAATTGACTTTGTTACTATCAATGAAAGTTTCCCCACTGAGGATACGGATCGGCGATGCCTAGACGGATACTGGCAGCGTGGCGGAAACGCCTCTAACGTAAGCACAGTGCTTCGACTACTGGGAGCCAATGTCGATTTCTTTGGCATGCTCAGTCGATCGAACGGCTTCCGGGTGCTGTTGGATGATTTGGATCAACGTGGCATTGGCATACAGCACTGTCCCAAGACGGAGAAAGACCCGCCGTTCTCTTCAGTGATAATTGTCAAGGAGACTGGTTCGCGCACCATTGTGCACTGCAATAAAAATTATCCATATATAACGTGGGAGGACTTCAGGAAAATAGATCTTGATCGCTACGGTTGGGTTCACTTTGAGGCACGTCAGTCCCAGGAAACAATCAAAATGATAAAAACTGTGCAGGAGCACAATCGGAATCACAATTCGAACATTCTCATCTCATTAGATTTTGAGACAACGTTTGAGAAAAATCTACCACTGTGCGGCCTATGCGACTATGTTGTGTTTTCTAGTGAGCTGGCCAGCCAGCAGGGCTGGAAAAGCTCACAGGAAACGTGCTATGCGCTTGCCAGCAGCTTAAAACCCGAATGCCCTAGCATAATTTGTCCTTGGGGTAGCACAGGTGCTGCGTGTCTAGATACCGTCTTCAATAAGTTCTCGAATGTGGCCGCCTTTAAGCCAGACCACATCGTGGATACACTTGGTGCCGGTGACAGCTTTATGGCTGGATTCATATACGCAACCTACGTGATGCAGTGCAGCCTGTCGGATGCTGTAAGTTTCGCTAACCGAGTGGCTGGCCACAAGATCACAGATTTTGGATACGATCACATTGCCGAACTACAGGCAGACAACAAGCTTGCAACGAAGTGAACATAGTTATATATTTATTATATGTAAACAAAAATAAAATATAGTTCTTAAATATGTGACTAATAATGATATACATGTGTAGGAAAAAAGGAAACAAAACATATAAGCGAAGCTCTAAAGTCGTAATTTCACAATTTCAAGTATCTTAGATAATTAGAAAATTGTCATTAGACCCCGATGATTTCCACAAATAGTATGCCGCCGAGTGTTATCTTATTAGAAACCTCCTATTGCAAAAGTTTTTATTTCTAGTCCAGTGCCTACGTATATTTGGTAAAACATGATCGCTGGTCATCTGAATCAGTGTTCACAGCCGAAGAGGACGCGTTGCCAATGCTGCTGGATGTGCCGCCATTTGGTTGTTTCTTTTGCTCAAGTTTATGATTAATCAGCTGAAGGTATTCAAAAAGAGAAATACTTAAATAGGGTACTCAATAATTTATAATGATATATTACCTTTGTACGCAAATTTTTAATTTTACGCAATCTCTCAACAAAATTGGATGCATAGGGATCCTTTTTCTTCACACTTTGGTAGACAAGCGAGGCCAGCTGCAAGGGAATGTTCATGTTTAATTAATGAGTTTGTGGGATTATTGTAACTATTCTCTAGCAGTAACTCCATCTTCTATTCATTCTGCTCTATTTGTCTGCAAGAGCATTATTCTTACTCACATTTGCATGCAGAGCCATCTGCCGGGCTAGTAAAGGAGCACTGCGATCGGACACTATTCGCTGCTCTGGATGGGAGATCTCTTTTCGCGCCTTGACAAAGACACGATTTGAATTTAGCTCCAGCGGTTCAACAATCACACAGGCATAGTTAAAGTCGCCCTATAAGAAAACGCTTATTAGACTGCGTGTACAAATTTCTTATAAGGTAGAAAACATACTGATATCGTAGTTAAGTTATAATCCTCCCCACTTTCGTTGTAAATGATTTTAACAAAGTCATTGCCTATGTGCTTTTTCTTCTCGTTGCAATTGGGATCGTCCTGCAGATTTGTAGGCATCAAAGTAGCCACATGGAACGTGACCTGAACACAAAAACCAGGCCGGATTAGTTATCTTATCTATTCAATTATAAATGTATAAAATCTAACCTGTAGTATATCATCCTTCCATATGTATGCAAATTTGCCATCAGCGCCACTTTTATCGAGCCCAATGAACAAGTTATTCTGTTCGGCTTCCTTGAGGTTGACCAAAGTTCCAATGTTCCGCAGAAATTCAACATATCGAGTGCTACCATAGGAATTGCGCAAAATTTCCACCTCGTTGTTACACTGGTTTGGACCAACATACAAAATGCCGATCTTATGCGTCTCAAAAGGTGGCACAAGATCGAGCAGTGTCAATGTGCTCGAATACTCCGGGTCAACTTTGAGTGGTGTCTCTGTCACGGACTGCTGGCCAGTGCCGTAGAGCTGGAGAAAAACGAAACTGGGACTCATGCACAGCTTAGCATTGATGGACGGCTTGGCTGTGCCAAAGCTGCGAAAATTGGTAGCCGACGTGGGTCCAGTTTTTCCATTGTTCACCTCACGCACCGTTGATATCGTTTTGGAACGACCTCGCATCATGTCACCGCCCCCATTATTATAGTCTGAACCACCATTGTTACTGCCATAGCCGCTGCTATTGGACTTGGCTAGGCCGAGACCGGAGCTAGTTGGAGTTGGTGATTGTTTGGGTGGGATAATTGCCTGAACTTGGCCCGGGGACAAAGGTGGCTTACCAACTGCGCCCTGCTTCAGAGAGGATGCTGACGCAGAGGTCTGGACCAAGCCCGGCTGAGCTCCGGTTTCTGACACTTGGCTGTTAACATCGTCGGCTGAGTGCTGTTTGGGAGGCAATGCGCCAGCTCCTGGTTGCAGTGGACATTTTAGAGCACCTTGGGAGCCTTGCGGCGGCGTTGAACCAGCTATCTCCTCTGGTATAGCTTCGCAGCTGACACGCATATCTTTGGTGCTGTACTGTACGCTCTTCTTCTTCGACGGTAACTGGTGTTCTTCGAAGGATGCTTTTACGGCTTCCGGCTCTTGCGAGAGGGGCGCTGGCTTCGCAGCCAGGAATGCCTGTCGCCAGCTCGATGTCATCTCTGGACTGGAGTTGACGCGTCGCACCGGGTTTCGCACTCTACCTTGGCCGTCACCAAATGCTAAACCATCATCGTCCGCTTCACCATCACTGACGCTTCCACTGAGCGCTGCATCCTTGCCACGCTTGACACCCGCAGCCAGGCGTGGAATATCAATGGCCGCTGTGCCGCCGTTGCCACCGTTTCCCCCGCCGCCGGTACTGCTTACGGAATGAACCTCTTCTTGACGATACAGTGCCCGCGCCTTAGCCACCATGCGATTGCGAATTTCGGTGTTTGCTGCCACTGTAGCTGGTGTAAGTGCTGGTTCTGCATCCGCTTCTGGCTCTGCCACGGCCTCTTGCGCTGACTGCGCTTCCTGTTGCGATTGCTGCTGCTGCTGCGGTAGTTCCTGCATGGGGTTGTCTGGCCCAAACACGCCGCCATAGGCAGTGGGCAAGAAAAGGGAAACCACGCTATTGAATGGCAGATCCTGGCCGAAGCAGTCGTTGGCGATGGGATTCTCAATGCGAGTTATCCATGAAATATTACCCGTGGGACGTCTTATGAAGATTTCGGCCCAGCTAGTGCACGTACGCGCACAAACGGGTTGCTGCACTACTGGACCCGATCGCGTGGAAGGACCTACGCTGGCCGTTGACAAAGAGAGTGAGTTGCCCAAAAGCGAAGTATTGCTGCCCGTGTGGGAGCCTTCGGCTAGGTTACTGGCGCCAGAAGCCTCCGGATTGGACCCACGTCGCGAGTATGCGTCTAACGAGACCGTAGAACTGTTCGAGATCTGACGATGCGGATGCGCGGTAGCATCCGAGTTCGATGTTGATGAGGACGAAGTATGTTCCGTACTGCCGGCACTCTCATTGACGCTGCTATGCTGAAAGCTCATTTTCGTATAGCGCCGTTCCCGCTCCGGCGACAAAGGCGGTTGCACTGCATCGCTAAGACTCTTCGAATTTAAGCTAATACTGGGCGCCTTACTCAATTGAGCACAACGCTCGCAAAGTCCGTTGCGTGTGGGTCCCGATGGGCAGCCGGATGTGGTAATTGTGACCAAATTATGGCCCACCAGCCACGTTTGCGAGACGCCATCCTTCAACAAATAGTCAATGGCCGGCAAGCTGTATTACGAAAAGAGACCATATATAATATATGCAGGAAGTTGTTAATCATATTTACCGCTTGGGTAAAGAAGGACATGGCGAGAATGTATGACGTTCTAGAAAATCAAAGCACGTCTCAACCAAATCTGCATGAAAGTTGCGCAGCGTGTTGTTCATCAATGGACGCATATCTGAATCATTGCGGGTCGCTGCGCTATTCCGACTTCCTCGTTCCGTAAGACTAGTGCTGCGCTTACGACTCGAGGAATCTTCATTCACGTTCGAGTTAATGTTGACAATGTCGTTGTGTAGCATCTTAGCATTCGACTGCATGGACTTCAAGACAAATAATAGTTTAGCAAATGCATATCTGATGTCGCCTTAACTTACCATTTTAATATAGCTCACGCAATTCTTGCGCAGTTCCAGCTTGATCTTCAGAAACCAGCCCGCAATCACATGATGCGCCAAAGATACGGTATAGTGGTCGTATCGATGAGGCTTTGTGTATGGCAGCGATATGGCAAACACGTACATATTGTGCATGGGCGTAAAGTTGGAGAACAGATGGTTTGGCATATGGATCAAAACTGTTAACAAAAGAAAGCTCATTAATTAATTATATTAAGGACGAGGCAGTATGCAATATTGAAAATAAATCACTCACGGGATAGAAATTCCAAAACTGGTATGGCCACCGTATTCGTGTCGGACATCATGCTTATTTGCCATAAAATATCTGGTAGCTTACGCATTAGCGCTTCGGGCATCTCCAAGATGAGAATGGAAATTGTATTGATGCAGACACTGGCTGTGTTTGGCGTTTGTATGAGGGAGTAGAGGGCTGTAATGATGTTGTAGTGCTTTGGCGGCTGTAGGCACTCGTAATAGATAACCAGTGATGCGATTGCCCGCACCACAAGGCCGTGGAAGATATCGGTGGGTTGTTTAAACTTATTGTTGCTAACCGAGTTGATTTTAAACAGCGTATTGGCTAGCTTCTCGATATCGTTGCCCTGAATAAGGGCTTTATTCTGCAGCACCTTGGGCAGCTCCGTGATGACCAACTCGAACACAGAGTAATCAGAGTCCTGCTCTAGACAGCGGACAATCAGATTACAGACACGTCGTATAGAAATCGTTGCTGTTTGCGTTTGCGATGGTAATGGCAACTCGACACTCAAATAATGGCTAAACTTTAAGGTTTTGGGGCTGTCAGGATATCCAATGTGATAGGAGGCATTAGCGCGTATCTTGAGCATCCAGTCGAATATCTGCAGGGTATTGCTTAGATTAGCATATAGAGAAATACATACAATTTTAATTATTTTACCTGACGCCGCACTTTGCTGGCCTGTTCAAAGACCTTTGGGCGATCGTAGTGCAATTCTAGATGATCCATTAAAATATTGAATATCTTAATGGCATGAGCGGCCGGTTGGCGATGCAGCTTAATGGCAAACACCTCAACAAGCCCATCGATAGCGGCGCTTATATCGGAAATTTCGGCCACATTTTTTATGATAATGCTGCTGCCTGCCTCCGATGTGCTGGCGTCTGCCGCAATCTGGCGCAACTGCTCGAAAGGGCGATTGATGAGTGCCTCCAATATGTCCAACAACTCGAGGCAGCGTTTCGTATCGCAATGGCGCGCAAAGTTGGAGAGAGCAAGAGCCACCGCCCTGCGCACTTGTACGCTGGACTCCTGATGGATCTGCGCCAGCTGCGGCACAACAACTCGATCGAGAATCTCTTCTTCATAGCTGTATCGATTCTGGTTCATAATCTCCACAAGCGAATCGATGATCTTGATGCGCACATTCACGTTCGACATGCGGTAATAGCGGTGCACAAACTGGGTCAAGCACAAAAGCCACTCTGGACGAGTAGCAGTCACACGTTGCGTTCGATAATCGATTAAGCTCAGGACAGAGGATTCAGGACGTCGATCGGCGACCCGTTCGATCAGGTCGTAAATGCGATCTACATTGCAAAGTATTTGTGTGCGTTCATTTTTCAGCAATTTCTCAATACAGTCAATATTCTCGTGAAAGTTGATTTGTAAATGATGCAAACGATCCTTGTTAACACCCAAACGCTCTGCAAGATAAGACTTATTAATCACAACTGCAACGGACATCGCGGTCGATCACAATACGCACCATACTCCTCAATGTTGTCGACGATCGCCGACATAATGTCGCAAATCAGATCCCATATTATCTCGGAGAGTTCATGTCTGTATTTGTTGATCACCATGCGCACACTGAGAATCACTTCATAGGTCACAATCACCTCATTGCTATCCAATGCCTGTAACAGTTGATTAGTTTATATCAAGTTTATGAAAGACTGTTGCGGCAAGTTACATTCCGAAAGCCCATTAATACGTTGGTTGCATAGATCATTGAGGAGACCTGAAAAATGATATTCGAGCCAAAGATATTCATGTTCAGATGAAACACTGCCCCTCGCAACAGTTGGGCATCCTCGTACTGTCCCTTGTCGTTGAGTATGTTGCACATAATTTTCATGGAGTGATAGCCTAGCTGAGTACCCAGCAAATTTTTCATTATCTATAAAAATATAAAAAGTATAATTAATTTATATAATGATCATTTTAAAGATAAACTAAACACCGATATTTATCAATCGATCGAGTTGTTTTTGAAGGACAATTGTCATTTGGCAAAAGATTTTAAATTTATTTTACTAAAATCCTAAAATCATGAAGAAGCAGATTGTTAAGGAGGTAATAACTGTAAAGAAGGTGCGATATCTGCCTAGAGAGGAGCCACCACCACCTCCGCCACCACCGCGACAAGTACTTGTAGTAGGTCGCTGTACGCTGGATGTTATCAATATATGCAATGAAGAACCTAAGCCCGGCATGATCGAACGCACTGATGAGGGTTTCTTTCGCCTCGGCGGCTATGCTGCGAATTCATGTTGCGTATTGCGGCGTTTGGGGACCGCTTGTGCGTTTCTTGGACAGCTGACCAAAGCGCCCGCGTTCGAAAACTTGATGAATAGTTTCCAGGCCATGGACATTGACATTTCTAACTGCCCGCGCAACTGCCAACAGCCACCGCATCGCATCATCGTCGCTGTGTGGAACAAGGCGGAGCAGACAACCGTGGAGTATACGAATCATCATCACGAGCTCACCTATCAGCAATTCGTGGGCGCCGTTGACTACCGCAAATACTGCTGGATACACTTTGAGTCTCGCAACACCGGGGAAACGATTCGCATGGTGCGCGCTGTGCGAGCTTATAATGAGCGCAGTCCAGACGCTAATATCTTGTTGTCGGTGGATCTGGCCGACATGCGACCACATAGCTGCCTTATGGCCGCCTTAGCAGACTATGTGCTTGTCCGAAAACAGGTAAAGGTTGACAATGGCTATATGAATGGTCGAGAGACAGTGTGGGGAGTCCGTGATGCCATGACTGTCGCGCGCAAGCGCTGGCAAAGTAAGCAACCAAAGAAGACCCCATATACAACAGAAGATATGCCAGGATTGAACCCGGATACCAACACGTTGTATCAACCAATAATAATCTATGACAACTATGAAGAGGGATCCAGTTGTCTAATGCCCGACAACAAATATTTCAAGGTTGGTCCCCACAAGGCACAACAAATCGTCGATCCAATTGGCGAAGAAGAGACCTTTGTGGGTGCCTTCATCTATGCGATGCAAGGGGACAAAATGTCATTGCGGGATGCCATAGAATATGCCACACGAGCTGCTTGCTTTAAGGTATCCATATTTGGCTTCGATAAAATGCGCTGCATGCCCAAGGATCTCATTAGTTGTTATCATGCTTGATGCTGAATATTCTAATAAGTATTTGTTACAAAATTGTATGAAAACAAAATTAAGAAAACAAATGTAATATCTACAATTTGTATAGTGGGAAATAACAATGCATTTTCATGTAAGTCTAGAAATGCTCCTAAAGGCTTGTTGGTGAATCATAGAGTCGGCCTAGATAGGGTGCATGTTGATACTCATTTCGGAAGTCGGCAATCAAGTGGGGAATATTGATATTTAGTTGGTTAATTATCAACCCAGTTCATGGTCGATAAGAAACTGAAAACACCTGAACAGGGATCAGATAAGGTGTAAGAAAACACTGACTAACAACTAGAATTTCATTAGCATAAGCAAACAAATTGTAACCCCAATCTTGCATCTGAAATGAACTGATAAATTCAAAACCAGCCCATTTAGTGCCATAAAAGTAGAGCCGATATCAAAACTGCGGCGCATTCCACACAATTCCGCGGACACAAATAAATAAATACCTATGAAGAGCTGTGAGTTTGGGATTTTCCAATCTGATTTCCGTATTAAAGAGTTTCTTTGTCTTTCAGATCAGCTACAACTGAGCGTAGTCCTATTACTGCGGCTGGCAGTAATTCGAGCCAACACTCTAAGCGAGATCGAGTCGCTGTGCCGCAATGTCTCAACATGGACTCTTGTGCCGGACAAGCGGCACTGTGATAGATTCTATGTGTGTACGGGTATAAAAGATCGGAGCTACCAGGAGTTTAGATGTCCAGAGGAATACCATTTCAACAGCCTGGAGAAACGCTGCGTACGAGGCTCATGTGCCGCAACTTGCAAAACGATTGGTGTTCAACGCTTGGATGGCGATTGTACGCGCTTCAAGCATTGTTCCAATCGTGGTGAGCTCTCAATTGCAAAGTGCTCGTATGGCCTCTACTTCGATGCCAAACGAAAAGCTTGTCTGCCGGTAAACATAACGCCAGAGCATCAGTGCAGCTGCATAATGCCAGAGCATTCAACGCTGGCTAATTCGAACGACTGCCGAAGCTATTATCGTTGTGAACAGGGCCAGGCCATGCTGCAGCAATGTCCACATAATTATTATTATGATGTCACTATTAACAGCTGCCTGCTGGATACGCGAGGCGAATGCCAGCCAGCCGTTCAGCTTGTCCAACGTCCGTTGCAAGAGTGTCAAAGAGAAGGCAGTCGACTGGTGCCGCACTCTACGGACTGCAGCCGATACTACGTGTGCATTGGCAGCCAGGCCATTGAGTTGAGATGCCCCCAAGGCCAGTACTTCGATGTGGTATCGCGTTACTGCACGGATGACAAACATTACCAGTGCTTCGGTGTGACAACTAGCACAACAACTAAGCCAGCAACGCCAAATACAACACAGAACGTCAACAACAGTAACCAAATACATAAAGTGAACAGCAGCAAGCAGGCAGACCAGTTGAATGAGAACAGGCCCAAGCCTGAGGACATGACCAACAGCAAGCTGTCATCAAAATTTTTGTTATTGTAAAATTATATTCATTCCGTCTTAGGGGCTACTTGCCTGCCTTCCATGAAATAAACCAATAGTCTGACATACCTTATACGATGCTTGGCAATAGTGATTGCTGTTCACTGTGCGGCACAGTGTGACAATGCACTGATGTAACGGCTCGCTAGGGAATATGGTATAGCCAATGACCATCTCCAAGACGGTCAGGCATTGTAAGCCAATGTCGTCGTTCGGCACAGTGCAGCTCAATTCGCAAGCATTTCTGAAATACAAGGAGTTTTAATCAGTTTATTCAGGCAATTCAAATTAAACATGTCACCCACTGCACTATGCCAACAAGTATATCTTTGTCCAAGTGGGCTGCATTGAACTTAATGAGATTAATCATCATTTGCAGATAGGGACAGAGCAAATCGGCATCTGTGATAGCTGGTATCCACAGCAGCATAAATTTACCAATCTGTAAACAGACAAGTCAAATATATTGAAAAATTGAACCTCCATGTGGATCCGTGTCACCTTCTCTTCGAAATTGGTAATATCCTTGCCGTTCTCTGTGAGAGTGTCAAGTAGTTCTAGCAGATGTCGTAGATCCTCGTGCGCCTCATGATTTTGTATGACAAGGAAAAACTTTTCACGCATTAGCGTTAAGTTTTTGTATTGTGTGAAAATGAGGCGCTTATAGAAACTTAAAGCAATTTGGCGTGTTTCTGCCGGTTTGTTGGGCACAATGAGATCGTTGGTTAGTTGCCACAGATTAGTTATGGAGGTCTGCAGGTAATATAATATTTATAAGTTTACACAAATTGCCGGTGGTCAAAGCCCTTTTCTTACTTCATCCAAGTTAATATTTTGCAAATGCGAATCTCCTAGTTCTTTAAGCATTTTACAGCGCTGTGCAATTGGCTGCTCCGGTCGGAGCTCAAGCTCAAACTCTGGACGCAACGTTCGCTCGCCAGAATTGCCTGGCAAAATACATATTAATTAAAGCAATTGTTGCAATTGTTTTGGTCGTTTTTACCTGGTGGTTTCGTACTCTTAAGAAAATTTTTAAACTTGGATTTATCTCTGGAGCCCATCATAAATCGTTGTTTTTGCGTTGCTAGACGCTTAAATATCTATGGTGTACTTAAAATTCGTTCACGTCAATTGGAATAATCAAAATATAACACATTTATAAGGAATTGCAGCTGGATACTTGAGCAGTTGAGCCCAACTGATTACAGAAATAACAAAAAAGAGTAGGGATGCTCCCTTCAAAGAACCATATGCACGGAGCAAATATTTAACTCAATTACAAAGGTTGTTTTGCCTATTGATAAATAAAACAAAAAAAAACAAATTTATTGTTTTTATCTATTACCAACGATTAGTGATCATATCTACAAATAGACTATAATATCAATTTGCTAGTTACACATTATTTATTTCTTTCCATCCCTGCACATATTTTTTCGGTTCATTTTCTTCACAACATTTTGATAATGTTAAAATACAGCAGCCTTTCGAGTAACTTGGCTGCATATGGAGCTTAAAAGCTAACGTTGAATTTAAGTTATTCGATTTTCTATGCTACGTATAGAACACATCTTTCAACTAGAATAATAATTATTATTAAGAGAGTTTGAAATAATTTGCCAAGAATTAAAAGTGGTGACAGAAAAATTATGATTTCGCTGTTAATAACCCCTAACGGAATGTTAAGTTTTCGGTTGTCGAAAACATATGTTTTTATATTGTGAACCATATGGTGAACGACAATAAGTGACTTATTCGTTCATTTTGTGTAATGCATTGTTCCATTGAACTTATTCCGATTGATCCGAGACAACTCTATTCTGTAGCGTCTCCCAAAAAAGTGAACAAATTGCAATAACGAGAAATAAAATTTTTAATTTGTGTACATTTGTCATAGTGAAAAAATACCTCAGCGGGAGAGAGATATTTTACATTGCTATATTTCAAAACGCCAGTGTGTGTTTACAAATTTTATAATTAATTTAAAAGCTTACGGTGTACGGCGTGCATGTGTTCTTGATTGCAAAAAGAACGAAAACAACAGTTACTTGTCACATTTGACGCATCAAGCCAGACAAAGGTAAAAAGTCATATTCATATACATGCTCATTTATTTTGCGTAAGTATTAAATCGTAACAATATTTGCACATGAGATTAATACGATTATATTACGTCTCGTCGTCGTTCGCACTACATATTAGCAAGTCTATGTAAATACATGCATACAAACATGCGATGTGTGTGCGCAAATATCTGGGCATATACGAGTGTGTGTGCGATGTTTCATGAAAGGCAATTTCATCGGACCATTTTCGCTCGCTTTTTAAATTCACTTGTCCTTGTCGCGTATACATGCAGTTTAGCTTGAATGATCGCCATATTTACAATTTAATTTGGATCAACATTTCTCGTGCTCTTTTTTTATGTTTTGCAAAAACATTGCCAATAAGTTTATTTAATCAACTGGTATTTTAGCATAGAACATCATGAGCTCAACTGAAGAAAACAGCCCGGCAACCACGCCGCAGGAGAACGAACCAACAGCTGAACAAGCAAATCCCAGAGATTTGGAGAAAATCGAAGAGGAAAAACTGAAGTCTAAATATCCAAGTGGGATGCGTGTGCCTGGTGGTCATTCCGCGTTCCTTCAGAAGCGTCTTCAGAAAGGAGTAGGTTACATTACCGCATTTGCCCCAAAAGTATCAATTCTAACTCTGAATCTATTGTTTTCAATTTAAGCAAAAATTCTTTGACTCTGGAGATTATCAAATGGCTAAGCAAAAAGGTGGCGGCGTTAAGCAGGTGTTTGCCAATAAGGTGACCACCGGTGAAGCCATACCAACGCCCGAGACGGTGCCTGCTCGAAAAACGTCGATTATTCAACCGTGCAACAAGTTCCCAACGACGAGCTAAGCATCATATTTTACTGTTTACCTAGAAGCTCCTCACCTCCTGATGCGCTCCAAATGCTCTTTAATTAATATTATAGTTTATTACTAAGTTGGCTGATCTATGTGCACTTAGCCTTTGCGCTGGCGCTCGTTTTGCCGAATTGTGAACATTTCATCCCCAAGTTTTCTTTGATTTAATTTATTCCCGCAAACACCGCATTTGTTTCCTACTTTCCTTTTGCTCCAATAAAATTTCGCGTATCTATTACGAGCTTGCGCCAATCTCAAGAACATTGAATGTATTATGGCACTCTTGAAGCAGCACTATTCAAAAGTTCTAATTAACAATATATTACCCTGATCGTATGTAGTTGTAAGTTATTGAAATCGTAATAAACTTAAGTTGTAACCAGTTCAATTCAACGTGTTTAAAATAACTGATAAAAAAATATTTTTATATTAATTCAGTGCTCGCTGTAAGTGCAGTGAACTGAATAAATCTAGTGTCATTTTAGTACAATTTAAATCGATCATTTTGTACACCAGAATGCATCGCTGGGGTGTGCTCTGTCAATGGAGCTGGTTTTGGTGCATATCGCACAAAATTGAAAGGTAATCGTAAGTATTTTAGTATTATATGCACAATATATTTATAATAACAAATGCAAAATAAATACATGAAATTATATCTTCTCACGGTTGCACGAATCCATTTGTTATCGATAGTAACAGCAACCCGAACTCAGCTCATCTCCAATACATTCAACGAAAAGAACAACTGTTTGATTTATTTGCAATAATTTTGTATTTTAAATTAGTTGAATAATAAATAGTATTATTATTTTGAATGGAAGCGGTTTGTAGCGCCAACGAGCGTGTTTTCAACTCAGTTACAAAAATAGATGTGCAACTTTCGCAGGATGAGTACGCCCAAAGGTATGAAACAGCTGCAGCTGCAGTGCAGCCTTCGCCAGCCTCCATTGTCCAGAGGCGCACAAAAATCTACGAATCGCAACTGTCACATCAATCAGCCAACACATTCGGTTCTCGACTGGAAAAGCTGTCAGAGGGTCAGAAGCTTATGGATGATCAGTGCACCGACTTAAATTGTGCGCTGGGCAATAATATTGCGAACTGTCTAAAAAACATGTATATCACCCAAAAGAAGCAACAAACCGATCAGCAACAACAGCAACTATCAAAGTGTGTAGGGCTAACCAGCAACAGCAAGATGATGTTAGCCAAACCACTTCGATTGCAATCGAGTCCCTGTTTCGAGGAAAATCTTCCACAATATGCTGATCCTAAGGGGCCTAGAATTTTAAGATCGATCGAGAATATGCGGGACTCACTGAAGCCAATCGTATTTCGTCGCTTATCAGATTTTTATTTAAGCGACATTAATGCAATGCGCAATGCTCAAAAGAACCAGCCGAAATCCACGCTAAGATGCTCGATATTGAAGGATTCAATGTCACGTATAAACGAATCCAAGCGAGTGACGCGTCGTGTTAACGTAAAGTTGCCTTTAAGGGAGAAAGAAAAAGCGACTATATGCGAATCCGTTGCTAAGAAAGATTCAACGATGCCTGCTGCACTGGAGAAGCATTTCGTTTCGGATCAGCTTGTGAGCAACGAGCTAAAATGGCACAATGATCAGACATTGCAATTATATTTCATTGAGATGCCTCTTCTTATCGAGCATCTAAAACAGGCTGCAGGTGTGAAAATGTGCATTAACTTGAGTATTTAATAACTAATTACCTTTCAATTTTCTAAAGCGGGCCTGCAATCAGAAACGATTGTTTGCACGGACGAAGGAAATTTTGTGTTGAAGCCCAACATAACACTAAGCGTTGTTTTGCCCGAATTACTGGCTGAATTTGCAGAACCATTCCTTGCCTCCGGCAAAGCCTATCGTCGACTAAGTGGACGCACTCACTGGCAGCACACCTCGAATCGAATTGAACGGCCTCTCAACCGAGTGAGCACAATCATAATACATTTGAAAGTTTCCATATGCAAGCAACCTTCATCTTTGCAGGCTTTGCGTCAGGCAATAATAAATTTCCTTACAAATAGCCGGCTGTTTCTACTAACGCTATCTGCCAAAAACTTAGGACAATTGCTGCGCGGCGCAGGCCCCGCCATGGATTTGCTGCAACAGATGGATCAAATGCTACAATCTGATCAAAGTCGTAAGTATGTTTATCCCTCGACTGTCTCGCTAAGCTTAAATGTTTTTGAATTCCAGTGAATAATGCCGACGGTATAAGCGGCATGAGTGGAATGAGTCTGTTGAGCTTCGTTTGGTCGTTCATTAATGTGGGCATCAATTGCCAATTCTCGCAATTACTTTTGTACCTGTTAAGGTCGTTGTGTGAGACGTATTTCGCACAGCTGCAACGTTGGCTCTACCATGGTGAACTCGACGAGCCCTTCAACGAGCTCTTCATTAATTCGTGCTCGCATAAATTAATGCACGAGCGCAGCAAAGAGTTTTTCGACAAGGCGTATTACGTACGATCCGATGCAGTGCCTGGCTTTTTAATGGGCTATGAACAGGCCATACTTCAATGCGGAAAATACAATCGATTTCTAAAGAACTATAATTCCCAGGTGAGTAGACATAACGTGCTTATTGAACTGATTGAAGAACAGATTCGTTGCCCTTTAGCATGCAGTATTCAGTTTAAAATATCCCAACTTAGTTGTCTGCCTGTCGGAGCAGCAGTTGATGAAAATGCGCCACGAATTGGAACAGCATTACGATCAAATACTGCAGAATATCAAGCCATTCAATATGCAAGACATCTTCGAGGAGCAAATAGAAAATAGCCGACGCTTTGGTAATCGCATGTGGGATTGCACTCAGTCGTTTATTGCTGCTTGGAAGCAGGAACAGCATGATTTGCAATTAGAAGCAAACGTAGTTAAAAAACGACGCTACGATGAACTTAATGAACAGCGAGAGCAACAAGAGCAGTTGCGATTGGAGCAGCAACGCTTAGAGGTAGTACTTGAGATGCAATACCAGCAAAATTGCGATAAGATGGAAGAACAACACTTGCGACAGAATAAAAAGACGTTGGAAGAACAAGTGGCTCCTTTAATACAAAAAACAACAACTCCGATGGAAACGACTGAGGACGTCAGCCCAGACGACAGCACATGCAGCAGTCGCAGTTTTGTGTCATGCGAGGAACCAGACTTAGAGATGATAACGGTAAAGCCGGAGACAGAAGTGGCACAGCCTAATCCCGCTGACGTGCTCAATTCTAATGAGAGCGATATGAATTTGGCTCGCAATCGTATGCGCAACAATTCATCCGAACAGTTCCAGGAATGTCAAATGAAAGTGAATCTGCGCCAAGTGGCGACCACCAGCCTAACCTCTTACACAGAAGCGGAACGTAATCGTATGCGAGTTCTCAATTGCACAGAGCAGCAAACTAAATTGCCGCCAGATATGAACATGAATATCGAAGATCTCACAGATTTGCAGCGGAATCGGTTGCGCATGCAACAGCATAATACTTTTAGTTCGTTCAACAGTGACGACGATGTTAATACTGAGTCCCAGAAGCGTTTGTTGCATTCAGACTCGGAACTTGCACGAAACCGCCGACATGTAATGGACGGAGACTTCACAATCAGTGGAGGCTTAGGCAATGCCCTGCATTTGCCATTGACGCCACAACAGCCAAGTGTGGAGTCAACATTAGACACAGGAACTCCCATGTCCATCACATCCGATGTGGAAATTGCTGTTGATGTTCCAGAAGAAATAGTTGACGCGGCTAATAACAATGATACAAATATTAGTAGTCACTGTGATCAGGATGGCACAGATCAAGTTCCGTTAACTGTGCCTACGCCTCAAATTGTACCTGTACAAAAGGAAAAACCAGTATTTAAATTACCTATAGTACAAATGGATAGGGAGCAGTCAAATGCTACCGTTCAGATAGAAGAAATCGGTCATAATCCATTCATAATCAAGCGTTATATGCAGCTTTCTGTCTTGTTGCCACTTAAGTCGCATTTGTCGCTCCTACGCAACGAGGTTTTGCGCATATTTCATGAGCAAAAAGTTTATGATTATTTTTGCGATCTACGCAAATATTTTTTTTTGCTAGACGGCGAATTCGGAACTATGCTTATTAGCGGAATTCTGGCTCGAATTGAATCTTGCTCAATGCCACATAGGCTATGCCAGAAAGGTGTCCTGGACTCCATACTCAACAATTCACTTGGTAACAGAGCGATAGAAGGATCTTTGACGGCTTTAGTGGCCGATAATCTGGCTTTGAATTGCACAAATATACCGGAATCTATTGATATAATGGACATCAATGCTCTGTCCATATTTAAACTGGAGTGCAAGATGGACTGGCCACTGAACCTAGTGTTCAGTGTTGAGACCATGGAAAAATATGGACAAATATTCACGCACTTGATGAAGCTTCGACATGTCAGCTTTATAATGGAACGGACCTATCAGGACTTCCAACAGTCATCGAGACTCCATGGTCGAAGGCTACAGCAGTCGCCGCAGTATCGTCATTTGCAAATGGTGCGTCACAAATTGTCACATTTTGTCCTCACGCTGCAGAATCATCTGGTCACAAACGCATTGGAGGGCACATGGAAGTCCTTTACCGATGAGCTGATCTCGGTACATTCTGTTGAAGAACTTTATCAGCGACACGTGGACTACTTAAAGGAGATCGCATTCTTTTCGCTACTCAATCGTCGGAGCACCAAATTTCGGGAAACTATTGATAGTATACTTGTGATTGCGCTCCGTTTTTGCAAGTAAGTTAATATTGAAAAAAAACGTATTCACCTTTTATTTTAATAATTGTTTGAACATTTTTTTGTTTGCAGAATTCTTAACTCAAGGTCATTTGTTTTGGATGAAGAAAATCAGTTTGTTCATCCACGCTATAAGCGATTAGTATTCGAGGAAGCCGAATTTGAAAAATTCATTCGATATGCCATATACTTAGGAAACAAAGTGGCTGCTTCAGGATATCAAGATAAAATAATTGATCTTATACGTATCATTAATTATAATAACTACTATAATGTATCTGATAGCAGTAAATAAATAAAATGTTATTAGCTTTTCTATTTAACATAAGACTGTTTATGATAAAAAAAATACCAATACCATAAAACATTTACTACTAATATTAAGCTAAATGAACCAATCTTTTTAACGGAAAAAATTGAAAAACAGTGTTGTCCATTACACAATTATTAATATTTTTCTTGGACACACTGGCATAGACTTGAACTTCAAAGTTATCGATATCATTTCGATAAATAACAATATTTTGTTTACCGACTGGTGCGGCAAAGCGAAGCGAGTTGATTGTTGACTACCTGTGCGAAGAATCCTCGACTTACCCAAAAGTATTAAACCCGAAAGAACCGAATCGCTGACAGGTCAGCAATCAACAGGCAGCGCGATTTTCTCATATTTGTAATGCTTGACTACATGTCAGCATTGCATATAAGTACAGCACGCTCAACGTACAACATGGACAGAACCTCGGATGCCGATGCGGTAAATACAATAAATACAATGGGCAGTGTTGAGCTACAGCTAAATAGCTCCTATATTCTTCAGTGTTCGATGTCTTCGCTTGAAAGCGAAAGTGATTTGTCGCTGGCCCTTGAGCACGACATGGGCGATCCGGTAGACTGCGACGAGCTGCCTGCCTTCGAAATACGGGCTTACTCGCCACATGGACGCACCCCATCGCCAATTGATGATTTTAATGTATCGGATATCGAAACGCCAAAGCAGATACCAGCCCAACAGCGCAGTCCTGGGCGCCAGAACAATCCAGAGTTTGTAGCATTGCATGAGATCAATGCACAAATAAGTGCACCTAACCACAATCAAGATGAATCAACAGTAGGCCTGAAGCATGCCAACAGCTTGGAAACTATTTTTGAAGGCGTGTTTTTGAATACACCACCGCGTGAAAAGCTCAACAAAAGTGCAGGTTACGGCTCGAATCCGAACTCGGCCAATCGCTATACGCCAAAACGAAGTCGCGCCAACCTAATGGAATTGGTGGCAATGAATCGTCTGCATCTCGATGGACAGGAAAACCAATCACCATGCAATCAATTACAAGATGAGCTTACCTAGTTTCTATATTCTGGGCAAACAATGCCGGAACCAAAGCCATATATGACACATTTGCTTAGACTGCCACTGATTTTCTAGATTTAAGTTAGGTACACTTTGTGTATCTCAATGGATAAGCATTATTTTTATATAATTTTATATTTTCGATGCTGAATTTAAAAAGTAAAACATCTGTCTTTCCATGTTTCAAACATTTAACAGCATGTGTGTTTTATTTTATGATGGGACTTTCAATATTCTTTGAGTTCCAGGTAGGCGAAGCATACGGGCCGTATCAGCTGCTCAGATGGTACCTACATTATTTACCTGAACAAATTCCAGAGACCAAAGCGAGGATGTATTAAGATGAAGCAACTGCTAAGCTTCAGAAATTTTGATCAAACTGTATTTCGCACACACATCTGTTTTTGACGCCACAAATTAGATAAGATAAAAACATTGTAGAATTTGTAGAATAAATTTCAGATTCTGAGTTTTCTGTCGATTATTTAAATCAAAAGAAAACGTTTACCAACTTTGATTATAACCGAAACCCCGAGATTTTAGTCATATACGGTTTCCGAATTCCTCAAATTTGAAGACGCTTAAGCAGAAAGCTTTTCCATTTATAAAATAAAACTTCATTTTTTATTCGCTTATGCAACTATTTTAATGATAATTTTTGGCTTACATTAAAAATATTTAAAACTTATTTTCTAAAGTTTTTCCTATATACACATATATAGGGGAGTACGTTGTCTTTCGATTAAAAAAAAAGATTTTGAACATAAATCTTAATGGTTTCACATTTAAATATAAAAAGTGACGCTGCGATTGGGATTACGTCTTTCATAAACCAAAATTAAATTTTAATTTTATTATAAAAAAAACAAAGAACTCGAAAAATACATAAAAAGCTTCATATTTTTTAGATAAAAATAATAATTCTAGATGTGTAACAGGATTAAAAAATCTATATACATATATATTGAAATCACTTTCATATTATCTTAATTAAAAAATTCTTGAAAACAAAAATGTTATAATAACGATTGGGTATGCTTATTAAATAGTGTGGGGAATGTTTGATGAACACACAAAAATAATGCGAATGTACGTATCGTTTAACTGTTAATTTTGTAAGAATTATACAAAAATTTAAGTGAGGTGGCGCAACATATATATTATTCCTTCGAATAGCATGCCTTCTTTGCTGTCGAATGCTGTACAACTTAATGTATATTTTTATATATAGTGAAGCTTCATGTAAATGGTCAAAAGTTCTTAGAGTGACGTGACGCCGAAAAAACTTTGACGCGAAGAAGACCCGGATTAACCTCCTGCCAGCTGCAAAAAGAATCAAATAAAATAAATTAAACATTTAGTTTTGTTATGCATAAGGAAATACGTACCGCAAATGTCGCTCTGCCAATCTAGCCTTCACATTTTTCTTAATGGTCGATACACCATTTGCACTGTGTAGCCCTCGACCCGTTATGATAAAAACATGCTTATAGACTCGTGTGCAGTTGCGCAGAACATTTATATGACGATCCAGAAATAAATCGAGACTGCTAACCGCCTCTATAGTATGTAGATAGTGTAGATCAAGCAGATCTGGATTGTTTTGTGTATGCTTATGTACCTCCATGATGCAGTTGGCCGCACGATGATTGAAAAAGTCCATCTTTTTCTTATGCAGCTGAGCAATTTCTGAGTAGTAGAGCGCAACGCTTCCATTGCCTTGCTGTATCGCCTGCTTAGCTTTCAAGTTGCATTCTGCTCTCAGTTGGGCATGATGGGCGGCTAAGTTACGTGTCTCTTCAAAGTCTCGCAATGCGGCACACTTGGCTTCTTCGTGCAACTGTGGCGACTGCGATTTGGCAGTGCCTGCGGTACGTGGGCTGGCAAGTTTCGGCTGTGACAGTTGCGGCGGCTGTTGCACTTGTTGATTGAGCTGTTATAGAGCAACAATTTGTTTAATAAGAGATTAAATTATAATTTTAATCATTGCGCTGACCTTTTCGTTTTCAAGCTGTGCCTGCTCATAGAGCTCGGCGCTGGTTAATTCAACCTTTACATCGCTATCCAACACCTCCACGGTCTTTACATAGTTATTATCTGTCTCTGCAAAAACCTGCAGCACGGTATCGCAGGGTATTTCAGGAAATTTCTCGCATAGTTTCATTTTTGTTAAGTGAGTGGCAATATCATTGGGTTTGTTTTGAATCGCTTGATTTGCTGCTTGGTGTTCACTGTTGTAGATGCTCCAGGCGAGCTCCATATCAAGCAGTTCGTTTACATTGCCAGGCGATTCGCTGCATTCGGCATATTTTGGATGCTTGAGTAGACGTGCGAATTGCTCATCGTCTCGCAATGTTTGCTGACGTTGTTCTTCAAGCTGATTGTGAACCGCTTCCATCCAAACCATGTAGAGCTGCTTGGCCTGATGTCGTGGCATAAACACCTTGGTTGGCAATGACTCCGACTCTTTGGGCAGCATTTCACCCTCCCACTGAAAATGACTGCGCAGTTGCTTAATTAAACATTCACCCAGATCTATTTCTAACAATGCATTATCCTCCGAATCATCGTCGTCCTCGTCAGCAACTGAAGACGCACCAGCAGTAACAATAGCTGGTGCTGGCTCCACGACTGGCAGCGGTTGATCTAAAATTCCATTGCGTATGTCTCGTATTTTGCGCGTATGCTCCGAATACTGATCATCGCCTAAAACAAAACGGTTTTCGATCTCCAGCTGTAGTTCCCTGTTGGCAAAACCAGTGCCAGCATTGCGCTTGGCACGTGGCTGACGCTGCGGCTTCGACTGGTATTTGTTCAGTATTGGTGGGCATACAGCAGCAGGGGTAGCTACAGTTTGCATTTGAAAATTGTTCCGGTTGCAATTGCATTGAAATTCTTCGACTTCCTGGAGTAACGTCTCGTCAGCATTGTCTGTTTTGAGCTCATCTTCTTTGATTAATATGTCCACTGCCCAATCGACATCGCCGTTGCACTTCCCATACAAGTCCCAGAGACCTCCCAACTGTTTGTTCGGATACATTTGACGTAATAGCACAAAGCCATCCGCCTCGTTCGGACAGTTCAAGCTGTGCCGCTGCAGGGCGTTGTGAGCAGCATCTGTGACCGATGCTGAATCCCCACTTATCGCTGCTTCTGGTTGATCATCTCGCAACAAATCCAGTAACGAACTTTCACCTGTTGCTCCTGCACCGCTGGCAACAGTTGTTTGTATGGGAAGGTCACTCTGCTGTGCCCAATAATTATTCACATTTTGCTCATACGGCATCCAGGTTTGAGCATTAACATTTAGTTTGAAGCCATCCGATTGGCTTTTGGAGCTGGGTCGTTCCGGTTGTACTGATGAAGTTACTGGTGCTGGCAGCGTCGGCAGCGGCGGCTGCAGTCGCAACTGCGGCAATGGCACTGTGTATTTGGTATCCTTAAGAAACTGTTAATAAAATAATAATTACATATTATTTATTATTGGATTACATGTTTTAGTTGTTTTCATACCCCGATTAGCTCGGCCACGCTGGTCTTCTCATAGCGATCAATCATGCGTTTTATGGTATCTTTTGGTACCTGGTGCACGTTCTTCTGGGCCAGTTTTGTAGCTGATTTGGACCAACTTGTTTGGGGTTCCAGTAGCTCCACTATATAACCATGCTGCACGGCAATTTGTACATACGGTTGCATTTCCCATTTCATAATATTCGTATTGTCCACTATGATGGGGCTCCACCCAGCTGCCGCTTTGCGCTTCACACGCTCCTTATTCCACTCATGCGCTTCTGGCAGGAAATTTGGATTGAATTCGTAGCCATTAGCCGTGAGAAAGTAATCATCACTGCTGTACACGAAATCCGTAATGGGATACTGATCCAGTATATGAATTTGATTTAATATTGATTTGGCCATTGTGGATTTACCACTTCCCGCCGGTCCCCGCATAATAATCATAATTTTTTGACCAGCTTGCGCTTTTTTACAGATTTCATTGAATTCTTTGCTTTGGCTGTTGTTCATACTGTTGGCGCTCATTTTTGCCGTTGCTGTTGGTTCTGGCGTAATGTATTTGTTTGTGCTACAATTGTTGTTGTTGTTGGTGTTGGTACTGGTGTGGGTGTTGGTGCTGGTGTTGGAGTTGGAGTTTCTGTCGGTATTACTCTCTTCTTTTATGGAGAGTTTCTCATTAAGCCAGCATGAAATGTTTTCCGCTTGTTCAGCAAAATTTCCCGCCGTTGACATTTTTGTTGTGCTCGTAGTTTTTTTCTGTTCGTACCGTACAGTTTTCGCCTGGCATCAAATTTGAAGGACATACATACATGTGTAAAATGCATAAATATAACTGCGCAGTTATCTGTTTTAGTAATGTCGCCGCTATAGCACTAATGAATGATCCTCACAAATGTTTAGAGCCAATATCAGTCTCACCTTAAATATCAAGCACTTTTGGATTCAAGGTGTGCGCGAATCTTCGATATGTTGCGCAAATAGGTGTCGTACTTCGCTTAAGTTATATTATAAATTACTTTATTATTTCCAATTTTGAGCGAAGTTCTTAAAATTAAGTTGTGAATTTTTCCAAAACATTGTAAAATGTACACTACGGACCGACGACATGTTCGATTATGGTATCGATATGTCGATACATTAATTTCGCGGAGATTGTGAAGCATTTAATGCTATCATCCGTATGTTTTATTTACTGTCGACAGATATTGCAAGAGAATTCAAGTTAAATTTTAACGGTATATCGATACTTTTAAGTAATTCGCTTTTGTTTTAAATTCTTATATTCATATCTAGGCTCATCTCTTAATGAAAGTCCATTAAATGTCTTTATTACGTGACTACCATGCTGGGTGGAGTGATATAATTTCTTATCGATATGTCTTATAGCACACATCTCTATTGAAAACAGCTGCATCAGACATTGACTGTATATCCACACTTTTGTGTATTTCAACTTTCATATAAAGAGGAGAAAATATTAAAAAATGACCGACTGGGTTAAAATTGCTGAAGACCAAGAGGTACCGAAATTGAAAATTGATTTAAATGCAGATGTACCGGCTACGACAACAACAGGCAATAAGGACAATGAAGCCGATGTTGCTGACCCAGCGGAAACGAGTCTACTTATAAAGATATTGGGCAAGGGATTGGTTAACACCAAGCAGTCGTTGGATATTCAACAAAAAAATCCCAATTCACCATTGCATTCTGTGAAAACATTTGAGGCACTACATCTCAAACCCGAACTACTGAAGGGTATTTACGCCATGGGCTTCAATACGCCATCGAAAATTCAAGAAACCGCATTGCCAACTCTGCTTGCCGATCCACCGCAAAATATGATAGCTCAAAGTCAATCAGGCACTGGAAAAACCGCTGCATTCGTCTTGGCAATGCTCAGCCGCGTAAACGTTGCTCTGGACCATCCTCAAGTTCTATGCCTATCGCCCACATACGAACTTGCAATTCAAACTGGAGAAGTTGCGGCACGTATGGGTCAATTTTGTCCCGAAATTAAACTGAGATTCGCAGTTCGTGGCGAAGAAGGTAAATTTATTTGATTTTATGTGTATGCTTATAATAATTTCTTGTATATTTTGATTTAGTTGATAGGAACTCAAAGATTACGGAACATATTTTAATTGGCACGCCCGGTAAAATGTTAGACTGGGGTCTCAAGATGCGTCTGTTCGATATGAAAAAGATACGAGTATTCGTATTAGACGAAGCAGATGTTATGATTGCAACGCAAGGCCATCACGATCAATGCATTCGAATTCATAAAATGCTCAATTCGCAATGCCAAATGTTATTCTTCTCGGCGACGTACGACAAGGAAGTTATGGATTTTGCACGCTTGATTGTATCGGAGCCAACAATAATTCGATTGATGCGCGAAGAAGAATCTCTGGACAATATTAAGCAATATTATGTTAATTGCAAAAACGAAGAAGGCAAATACAATGCAATTCAAAACATTTATGGTTGCATCAGCATAGGCCAAGCTATCATATTTTGTCACACGCGCAAAACAGCTGCCTGGCTGGCAGCTAAAATGACGGCTGATGCACATTCAGTTGCAGTTCTTTCTGGTGACTTGACCGTGGAACAGAGACTTGCTGTTTTGGACCGATTTAGGTCTGGCCAGGAGAAGGTACTCATTACTACGAATGTTCTTTCGCGCGGCATTGACATCGAACAGGTGACAATCGTTGTTAACTTCGATCTGCCTGTTGATCTTCGTGGCAATGCCGATTGTGAAACCTATTTACATCGAATTGGTCGCACTGGTCGATTCGGCAAGTCTGGCATTGCTATAAATCTGATCGATGGGGAGAAAAGTATGTCTGTCTGCCGTGCTATCGAGAAACACTTTCAAAAAGATATCATTTATTTGAACACCGATAATGCAGATGATATTGAAAAGATTGGTAATTAAATCATTGCAATCATTCCCCTCATTTAGCATTAAGCCAGCAACGTATGTGAAACTTCTCTTGAAATAAAAATTATCTCTGAATAATACATTCAAGGCATATACATTTTCAAACATTTTTTATCTACATATTCGAAATAAAAACACACGTATTCATACAAAGAATAAATTCATATAAAAATTTATAAACTTTTATTTTATATTATATGTCAATCAATTATGTTTAAGCTCCAGAAAATACACACTGTTAAGCGAATTAGTATATTTAATGCGATATTGACTAAAGTGGGCAAAATTAGAACTAATATTTTTGTCAGTAATAACACCAATGGAGGCAAGAACGTAAAAATCAATCTTAACACATTTAAGATTATGATAAATACACATTTAAGAGCAATAATGAGCACACTTTCAAATACTAGAAATAGATTCCGATCGTTCTGATATTTTTGGTAATTGCCTCCGTTCCAATTGCGGCATGAAGTCGGTCTTGGCTTGCTCTGTCCATTTCTCTGGTCACGATTATCATTTGGTGTTTTGCTGTACATTATATCATATGCTCTACGTCGTGCTGGATCGGAAAGTACTGCGTATGCTCTATTTATCCTCTTACAAAATTCCAGACCCTGTTTAGTATCGTTTAGGTTCTTATCAGGATGCCATGTCTTTATAAGCTTATGGAAAGCTTCTTTTATTTCTCGTTGTGTTGCGTTTTGCCTAATATGAAGTGTCTTATAATGATTTTCAAATTTTGTACGCATTTAATCGGTATGTTTCTTATGAATCTTAATAAAAACTAAGTTGCAAATGCACTGTTCGAAGAAACAGAAGTGCTCGAGATGATGCATGTGAAGTCCCACATTCAACTTACCTACTGTTAATTTTCAATTAACTTAACATTTCTTTACAATGTTAATAACATCGAATTGGACTTATCGGAAGCTATCGACGGTATCGATAGCTTTAAAAACCGGACATTCATTTGTTGATATATGAATATCTGCATATTTAATGTATTAGCATTAACCATAGATCATTGTTATGTTACGTACTTTGAAAATCCTAAAATCTGTACCAATCTTAATTAAAAGCCATCTATTCAAATAGAGCGAAAGTAAGATTTCGATTATTTCACTCTTGTTTTATGATTCTAATACCCAAGGCGATTTAAACAGCAATATTTAAGTTTATCATTTATTGAAAACTAATTTTTAATTTTGGGCATGTTCCGAATAACTCATAGAGGAAGACGAAGTCACTGTCGAGGACGCTTCTGAATCACTACTTTGAGATGAAATCTTGCTTGCACTCCATTTCCAAAAGGTAACTGTCGAGCTGACTGTCCATGACCAGACTTTTGATAGAGCTGCACAGCGGAGCCTGCAATAGTACTCACAGACGAAGTAACTGCCGAGGATGCCTCTAAATGTTGATGTCGGCATTCCGCTCTGATCTGCTATTTGTGGTGCCACTGTCAACGAAGACGTCTCTAACGGTTGCTTATTACAAGCTTTTCTTTCAGCTGATATAATACATAGCCCACCAAGATAGAGCCGCCAGCAATGAAGACTTCATTTAAAATCGAGTCCATATACAACTCCTGAGAATTGAGTTTTGCATCCCGCTCAGCACTGTGACATCCTTTATATAGTATACGTCCAGGAGATCTCGATAAGCTTTGGTAATTTCAGCTTTATTAGCATTTTTCTTTATATTGAGAATATCGTAGGGATCATAACTAACCAACGAAACTGAATGATTGTGCAAAATTACAACAAATGAGATTCAGGTTTATTTTGAAATGCTGATCTACAGGGATTAATCGAAATAGTTAGATTGTAATTTAATAATCATTGCTATTCATTATATCGATTAGTGCTACTTTGTAAGCAACAGAGAACACAACATTTTTGGGGTTCACCGATATTCAGCTTCCAACAACAATGTATACCAAGGTTACCGTAACCGTTTTCTTTGTTATAGACATTTGAAAAAAATTTCAAATTATTGCAATTATCAATGAGAAATAAAAAAACAAGTTGATCGTAAATAAATACGATTGCAATAAAAGTAGATACTGAAAGAAGTGTCTTAGTTATTTTAAATAATTTCATTTAATATGCGCATTAAATTGCTTTTTGTCTAGAATGCATTGAAAATTGGATTCAGTGCCATAACAAAGCATACACATTCGTAGGAATAAAGAACTTAGAAACAGCTGTTTAAAGACTAGAATATCTGTTTACATTTTATGATGAAATAGAATTTCAAAGTAGCGAAACAAATTTTTATTAATTTACAGGATCTTTTGTTCGATGAAGAATATTGTTCATTGCGCCGATTTAATTAAATGTATATAAATGTATACAATAATAACAACTATTTTATAAGTATTTATATATTAGCATTAGAATTAAGCACAATAATTTTTTTAGTGACTCATTCACTTGTATCACTATCGCTATTCGGTTCAGGTTTCTTTGTAAAATATTGAAATGTTTTGAACGCAGCAAAAGCAAACAAAACTGTTCCGCCAACGGCACACATAAACGGCAGCATATCAGCTGATGGTTGTGCGAAAGTATTTTGGCCACCACCGTTTTTGAGTCCCTCTTCCCCATATTGGTCGTATAACTCTCGTTTTTCCTTGTTTGATAGTATTTCGAATGCTGCTGCAACTTCCTTGAAGCGGTTTGCAGCCTCAGGGTGGTCATTTTTATCTGGATGATACTTAAGGGCCATCCGCTTGTAACCTTTTTTGATTTCCTCATCACTTGCTGTCCTGTTGATGCCAAGAATTTCATAGTAGTTTTTGCCCATTGTATGACTTATTGGGAACTTTGATTGGTGGCTTATTTATGTAGCTGAGTCACTTGTAAGCTTTGCTTATTGCACAACAAGATTTTAATCACAGCTTTAGAAATTGTCTAAGCAACTATCGATATTTAATAATAATGATTAGGAATAACGATTGCTGTGTCCATACATTTGATGTTAATGTGAACATATTTTTTTGTTTTTGTTTGTTTTGTTTTTCAGTGTTACCCCACTATTTTCAAAATATGAACTATCGATTGCTATATCGCGGATATAAATTTGATCATATGAACATGAATATAGATTTATGTTTAACGAAAATATGACGGAAGTATATGAGCTTGAGTTATTGAGGACAGCTGCAGAAAAGTTCCTTTTGTAGTGCATGACAATTATAACAATCGATGTATTTGACAAAGTAATCGCTACAATCGATAGCTGTGTACTAAATATCGAACATCTCGTCCATTTGGTCCAAGTCACCACCGCGTATAGTTTGTGTTTTGGTAAGTGAAAATTGGAATCTTTAAAAATAAATGACATCCTCAAACTATTATTATGTAAAGTTTGAAATTTGACGAAAACCAATAATAATGTACACCATACTAATTATATATGAACATTTTTGCAGTTCTTAAATTCAATTGAGTCCCTAATACACATACAAAATGGTTAGGGAGAACAAAGCAGCATGGAAGGCTCAGTACTTCATCAAAGTTGTGGTATGTACAATCTAGCAATAATAATATATTATTACCGCTTATGTATTATTAACGATTTTTTTAATGTAGGAACTGTTCGATGAGTTCCCGAAGTGTTTTATTGTCGGCGCTGACAATGTTGGCTCCAAGCAGATGCAGAACATCCGTACGAGCCTCCGAGGCCTCGCTGTCGTACTGATGGGCAAGAACACGATGATGCGCAAGGCAATTCGTGGACATTTGGAGAACAATCCTCAGTTGGAGAAGCTGTTGCCTCACATCAAAGGCAATGTTGGCTTTGTGTTCACCAAGGGCGATTTAGCTGAGGTTCGTGATAAGCTGTTGGAATCGAAGGTGCGCGCACCTGCTCGTCCAGGCGCCATTGCACCATTGCCTGTCATCATTCCGGCCCAGAACACAGGTCTGGGTCCAGAGAAGACCAGTTTCTTCCAGGCTCTGTCCATCCCGACTAAGATTTCAAAGGGTACAATTGAAATCATCAATGATGTGCCCATCTTGAAGCCTGGAGACAAAGTTGGTGCCTCTGAGGCTACTTTGCTTAACATGTTGAACATCTCGCCATTCTCGTATGGCCTGCTCGTCAGCCAGGTTTATGATTCGGGTTCCATCTTCTCGCCTGAGATCTTAGACATCAAGCCCGAGGATTTGCGTGCCAAGTTCCAACAGGGTGTGGCCAATTTGGCTGCTGTCTGTTTGTCTGTTGGCTATCCAACGATTGCGTCCGCACCTCACAGCATTGCCAACGGATTCAAGAACCTGTTGGCCATCGCTGCTACCACAGAGGTTGAGTTTAAGGAAGCTACCACCATCAAGGAGTACATCAAGGATCCCAGCAAGTTCGCTGCTGCTACCGCTACTGCGGCCCCAGCTGCTGGTGGCGGCGCTGCCGAAAAGAAGGAAGAAAAGAAGGTCGAGTCCGAATCCGAAGAAGAGGATGACGACATGGGCTTTGGACTTTTCGATTAAGCACCACAATAATTGCCTGCGATTGAGTGCTCTGTTACAATTTCAATGTTTACATCAATTTTGCATAACTACTTGTGCAAATTATTGTCGCGGTTTGACAAACCCAATGACAAGTTGCATGTGCAGTGAGCAAACAACAACAATAAATATGTAAACTTTGATATTTGTATATGTTCTGTGTTTTTATTCTTGTATAATAGTTTGGAAAGCTTTTTGGATTCAATAATCATTGATTGCACTGAGGATGTAGATTGTGTAATATTTAACACATTTGTGCACATGATTGTAGAAAGTTTCGTTTGCTGGTATCTACACAATTTAGCTAGCAACATTTTCGTTGGAAACATTGCTGCGCAGCGTTGAGGAGCAGGCGAGCATGTTTGCCTTAGCAACATTGTTGCCAACCCTATTCAATATTAACATTTAGGAATACATAAACAATTAACTTAAATATAACGCTACTAAGGTCGTTGATTGCCATGAGGCAACATATCAAATCTGTTTTTATTAATATTATAATACGCTTATGCTATTATGTCAGACTTTTATTTTATAATTTTATTTTGTATTTATTTTTTTTTATTATATTAGAATTTGAGGCTATATTCTACGTTAGCGTATTTGTAGATTGACAATGCCGATCGCAAGTATTATTCCTTGTTGCATGTTGCAGTCCTTAAGCTTTATTTTCTTTTCTTTTCTTTGCTCGTTTTTTTTTGAGCCAACAGCCATTTTATTGCCCTCTTCAAATGGCCAAAAGGCTGCGTGTGCAATCCACGTAACGTTGCGACGTCTGCTGCATTGTCTGCCACCCCATATATTTACAAAGTAATTACTTGTGATAAAATGAATTTCACAAGATGAGAAAAGTTTAAAGTTTTCGCTGGCGCTGCTGTTGCTGCTGCTGCTGCTGTCGTTGGAGCTGCGACGCGACGCCTTTTGATATTTTTTGCAAGAACGTCGGCGTCGACGGCGACGCTGCTCATAAAAATTCAATTTGTCTTGACAAAATACGCAAGAAATTAAGAATGTGCCAAGTTGCAGCAGCAAAGAAACTTTATTTCTCTTTTATTTATTTTTATTTTATTTTTTTCTGAGGCGAAAATGAGTTACGCGGCTGGGGCGTGAAAATGAAAATGACACGCCCCCCCAGCCAACAAAAGCCCCGGGCAAAGTTAAACACTGCATAACTAGCCGAGACCGAGAGCCCAACAACTAGAGCTACTATGGATAAATAAAACCATTTCGCAGACCATCTACAAAAGTTGAGCGCGTGAGTTAGTCACGCGATAGCAAGTCTTAACCTACTGATAGTACAGCTTTAGTATATTAAATAATACAAAATAAGAACTAGTCTCATATCTTAAGTGCATAAATTAAAATTTCCAGTTTCCAGTAGTTGAACTAAAGTCATTTTCTTGAGTGTTGTTGTTATAACTATTGCTCCACTCTTAATTTAATCGGACTTTAAAGGTTAGTTACGAGGAAAAAAGCCAAGGAAGCCGTGTAAATTTTCAATATTCTTCAATTCTGCTAAACGTCTTGCGCGCTCGGCTTTAGCTGATCCGGTTCAGACGCTGATCTGGTTCGATAACAATTACCTTACACAATGTCTATTAATCACGTGTCCATCACTAGAATTTCCATTAGCTTCCCATTTGGTTGGTCGTAAATTAATAAAGGCATTGCATAATTTCAGGCGCCGCTGGCGGCAAATACACAAAAATTAACATAAATTGCGGAGGGGTGGCCGAGCCCGCACCGTCCGCAGCCACTCCCCAGCTACCCACTCACCACATCTAATATCGGCACCGTCACTGACATTCGAAATCAAAATGCGATTGGCAAAATGATTTGCTTCAATTTTTGTGATGCGCATAACAAATGAAGTTTGGACATTTGGACAATTGATTGGGACGCCACGAAACGGACGAACAAACAGCAACCAGATTTCAGAGTCAGAGACCAGAGACCCATATAGACAATATTCGATAACACAGACACACACACACAAGTACATATACAATGGCTGACATGCACAACAACAAAATGTGGAACAGTCGTCAGATTTGAGTTTTGGACTGGCAGTCTCTCCACTCAACTTGACTCGGTTTGGCTATCAATACGCATAGATAGATAGATTTGTATGCATATTTTTGCTTTGGCATTTCGTTTGTGTGCTAAACATGTGAATGCCATCGATATAACGATGATGCTGCCTGTCATGCATGTTTGTCTCAGTTGCCCAGCCTCCGTCCATACGATTTTCGCTCAGCTGAGATTTGTTTTGCCAAAAGATTGGCACATAAAACCATTGGCCAATGGCTAAACAAATCCAACTTAATTCAATTCACGATTCATCGAAGAACACAATAAAGTTATAAAATATTTGTAAAATTTTTCAAAAACTTTTAAATTCTGCTGAAATTGTAAAATTAAACGTTCTGCATAAATTTTAACTTGTGCTGCGCGCACTTTGTCACATAGGCAATTTAATATTATGTATGTGGTATAAGCAACTTCCCAGTAACTCGATAATTTCATATAGCATCATCCAGCATATAACATATCCACATCCCATACCATCTCATTCTAATCTGGCTCTCATAATAGGCACGTGAAAATAAATTCCCAGCAATTGCTTTTTAGAATTTTTGGGCAGAGCGCGAGGGCGATAACTGCTCTTACATGAAAGGGGTGTGTGTGTGTGTGTGTGTGTGTGTCTGTGTTAGGGATAAAACAGTGAATGTGTGGGTGTGACTGAGCAGGCGCTTGTGATTTATGTGGGCTCTCCTGTTCTCGTTTGGCTGCTGTTGGCAACTCAAAACATATGCATAGATAAATTATACGCGGTAAGCGCCCACAAGCCCCAAAATTGTTGACAACAACAACAAAAGCAACAACAATAACAACAACAACTGCAACAATAACAACCACAATATGGAAGTGGAAGAGCAAATATTTTGATGTGACGAAACTAAATTGGGCGTGGCAAGGTGAGCATCGCATGCTAAACTGTAGCATAGAAATACCCCTTTATACCCAGCAAGAGTGTATACAACTTCTGCCATAATATATGTAGCACATAGAAGGCAGTAAATGCATTGCCATAAAAAATATGCGCCCAGTAGCTGAGCAACTCTAATGGATCACTGTTGATATACTCTACTAATGGATCTATAAATTATATATTATATACACATTTATTGTTATTATTTTATATATATATATACATATATATTTGTAATGTTGGGTCGCTTTTAACTGTCTATCGATTGTCTCTGTAAGCTGAGCTTCTGTTAAGAATTGATGTATATCGATTGTATGGGAGTTATCGACTCTAAGGATTTTATGGAAACACTGATCGTGCTTCTTCATCTCTTCCGGTAATGTGCGGGTGATGTGCAGCAGAAATTAGTGAAAGTCATCATGATTATTAATCGCAATATTTTGTTTATTTACAATATATATTTAGATGATATTAATGTGTTTTAGATCCTAACGTGGTTTTAATTTCTTAACATTTTCGAATATGTATAATGATTGTTACATAGATAAAATATCATACCTATCAATGAGAGTACTCTTGTCTTGAAGAGTATATCATCTTGGGCATACTGAACAATTTTCTTATGCATATATATATGTATATATATAAATATATATATATATATATATATATATATATATATATGTATATATATAAATCCATTTTATTGTTTACTTTTATTTTTTGCACGATATTCGAATATATTGGCTGTCAGTCAGTTAGAAAATAGATTTTCAGTTATCATTGAAAGGTGCAGCAGCTGCTGGCTGAAAGTTCTGCTGTCAGACTTCCACACTCACAGCCCTCCCCTGCCCCACATCCACGTCTCGGGCCAACAAGCTGAGCTGCCATCAATTGTTACCATTCCACCCCGCATTCAGATGAAGTTGAGCTTTTGTTTTGCATTTTGCAAGTTTTATTTTCTGTTGCTGCTCCTTTGGACATGCGATGCGATGCAATGCGATGTCTATCCTAGGGCAGGTCGAAGTGGACGTTATGCTTAGTAAGCTATTTTCTGATGCTGCATTGGAGTTAATCAAACTTTCAGTCCAGCTACGAAGCTGGATTGCAAATGAACATATTTTGCAAAATTGATTAATTAAATTGGACGCAATTTTTGTAATTAACATGATTAATTATGCTGATGCTGGCTGATTTAGAGTATTAGAATGAGCGTGATATAGATCTGAAGCCAAATTAAGTTCCATAATAAAATGTAACGTATTCAAATGTAGGTATGGAGAAAAGATCTGAACTTATATTAGTTCACATAATAATTCTTATATAAGCAGGTGTGCGATTACATACGTACATTCATACATACATCCTCTGATACATTCATTATCCAAAAAAATAAACACTCCCAATCGACACATCAGAGCTTGTGAGTTACTTGAATTCTTGAGAATCGCATAGGAAGGTTATGCATTTGATGTAAATATGTATGTATACAAACTACCATGAATAAAAACATATTTACATAAATGCTTTAATGTATTCACATTTGTAGATACGTACTTATTAGTACACATACATACATTCATACATACATATGTTATATACATACATACATACATACATGTACATCTGTATATGTATATATATAAACATATATACATTCATACATACATTTTTACATACATACATACATGTAAATCTATATTTATATTCATACATACATACATATATGTTATACATACGTACATGTAATTATGTATAGATACATTTATTAATGTTTCATAACATACATACATACATACATATTATATACATTCATGCAAACATGTACATAGATGAACATATTCATACCAGCTTAAATATTTGCATACATTCACGCACACCTCTATTCGACATAAATACATACACTTATACATACATACATACATACATACATATTACATGCATACGTACATACATGTATGTGTTACATATTTGTCATTCATTGCCTCCTGCACTTGGGCTTCGGAGGATCGCAGAGTGGGACCAGATATAAGGCCGTGCGTGTTTATGAAAATGCGTGGAAACACATGAGGCATATGGGCAAACTTACATTGAAAGACCTACTAAGCTTAGGGACAAAAGTATAGCATTAGTTAGTCGCGAATGTTAAATGAAGCCTC